ACTCTACCACTTGAGCCACAGCGCCACTTCCAGCTTTTTTCTTTTTGCTTATGTGGTGCTGAGGAATCGAACCCAGGGCCTCAGGCATGCAAGGCAAGGGCTCTAGCACTGAGTCACCTTCCCAGCCCCTGATCAGTTTTAAAGGCAGTCATTACTGTGGGTGCCAGTTAATGCCTTGGTAGTTCACATTTAACTGATCTGTGAAACTTAGTCTTTTAGAAAGTTGTATTATGTTACAAATACTGGAAATAGCCCATTTTTCATGTGGTACACATAATCAAGGATTGTGTTTCTTTCTCTACCTGCACTCTACTGTTGCTATATTAAAAGCCAATTCAAATTTTGTTTCTTGAATAATGACTACTTAGTAGGGCTATGAGTATCCAGTCCTAGCTATTTTATGTTTGTGTTCTCTTAGAACACAGGTAAGTCCTAGCATGTATATAATAAATCCTTGGCCTTTGATACTAGGGTTTGAATTCAGGGCTTAGAGCTTGCTAGAATGGTGTTCTGCCATGTGAGCCATGTCTTTAGCCCTGCTTTTACTGGCTAGTTTGGAGATGGAATTTAACAACTACTACCTAGCTGGCTAGGTAGGTGCCAGTTCTTCAAGAAATTATGCTTTCTTTTTTTTTTTTTTTTTTTGGTCCGGTTGTGGGGCCTGAACTCTGGGCCTGGGCGCTGTCCCTCAGCTCTTCAGCTCAAGGCTAGCGCCACTCCCGGCTTTTTCCTTTTTGCTTATGTGGTGCTGAAGAATCGAACCCAGGGCCTCAGGCATGCAAGGCAAGAGCTCTACCACTGAGCCACCTTCCCAATCCAAGACATTATGCTTTCAATGGATGAGTATTTCTTTTATAATAAAACTACTACATAATTTATACCTGTTTTCAAAGTAGGGTTTTATGTAATTCGTTAGTCTTTGAACAAGAGAGTCTTCATGAACTTTTTTTACTTCCCTTCTTATGCCTCTTTGAAAGCATACATGTGAAAATTAACAAAACCTGTTAACAAAAATTGACCAGTATAGGGAATGTTTGTTTCTGGGCCTGGGTGCTATTCCTCAGCTATTCAGCTCAAAGCTAAGCACCCTACCCTTGAGCCACAATACCACTTCTGGCTTTTTCTGCTTATGTGGTGCTGAGGAATCAAACTCATGGCTTCATGTATGCAAGGCAAGCACCCTACCACTGAGCCACCTTCCCAGCCCAGAAGCAAAGTCTTTCTACATGATAAGTAAGCACACACTCTTTTTGACCTTTCATTATAAGTTTGTACTATATGGTTTGGGGAAAAAATGAGTTTTTGTAATCTATGGGTTGGTATGTAAAATGTATCTCCTTTCCCTTTTCTGCTTATTCTGATTAAATGAAAGAAACTGAAAATAAATAAATAGTAAGGTGATGTTTCATTCTAGGAAAATGGCTACCAGTCCTTGCTGAGCAGTGATGATCAGCTGTTCATTTATGAGACAGCTGGAGTGCTGATTGTTAATAGTGAATACCCTGCGGAAAGGAAGCAAGCATTAATGAGGAATCTGTTGACTCCACTAATGGAGAAGTTTAAAATTCTGTTAGAGAAATTGATGATGGCACAAGATGAAGAAAGGCAGGCATCTCTAGCCGACTGCCTCAACCATGCTGTTGGATTTGCCAGGTGAGCATACTTTCAATTAAGATTGTAAAATGTGTTTACAAGCAGAACTTAGACTTTTTTTAAGGACAGATACATAACTTTTTTTCAAAGCTAAATTGTTCAGAAAATGGCCTAAACTTTTCTCTTATTAATCCATAAATTAGATTTAGATAAGGAATAAATCACAAATTACTCTCCGTTTTTTTTCCCCTTGATGTCTTGTCTAAAACTACTCTGTCTTCGTTAGTATAAATCATTTGTATATTTAAGGATGTTACCTGAAATGTTCATATGCCAATGATACATGAGGGGACCTGGATAGTCTTTTTTTGTATGTGTTACTAGGTTTTGTACTCAGGACTTTATGCTTGATCTGCTTGAGACTAATTTATTCAACACTAGCCCTCAGGGTAGTCTTGGTACCTTAAGGAGAAGGTCCTGAAACTTCTCTTGAGCTGCTGCATTGTTTCTGATGAAGTAGTCAACTTTATCTGTGCTTATACTTTTTATTTGGTAGGCAGGTGTTCTACCACTTGAGCCACTCCTCCAGCCCGTCATATACTTTTTATTAATAGATGAAAGTGAAAGTTATAGTTACTTAGAAGTTATGTAGAAAAAAAGTTTCTATGGAATACTTTAGAGCAAGATCCAGATCTTAGGCAGGTTATATAAGTAACTTGATTCTGAAAACTGTTTTCTATGTTTAAATGAGTCTTTTTTTCTCTAGTTCAAACAAAAGGTCATCACTTTTCTGTATACTTTGTTCAACATTTTGGTAAAGCATTTAAGCACAAATATGGAATTACATCTCATTGATTTAATTTGCTTTGAGCATTTTGTTGTGGAAACAATATCGGGAAGCAATAGTTTATACATAACCATATTAGCTGAAGATGTAAGGAAAATATCTGGAAAATAAGGAGTTCGTTTCTTAGTTATTTCAGTGATTTGCTGCTTTTGAAAAATCTATAAACTTATAGAGTAAAACTAAATCTGGTTGTGTGGGTTTTGGTTAATGTAGTCGAACCAGCAAAGCATTCAGCAACAAGCAGACTGTGAAGCAATGTGGCTGTTCGGAAGTTTATCTGGACTGTTTACAGACATTCTTGCCAGCCCTCAGTTGTCCCTTACAAAAGGACATTCTCAGAAGTGGAGTTCGAACTTTCCTTCATCGAATGATTATTTGCCTAGAAGAAGAAGTTCTTCCATTTATCCCATCTGCCTCAGAACACATGCTCAAAGATTGTGAAGCAAAAGACCTCCAGGAATTCATTCCTCTTATCAACCAAATTACGGCCAAATTTAAGGTATCACAAACCAGAGACTCTTCTTAACGCTCCTCTCTGACTGAAAACCTGATTGCATTTATCTATAGGCATGTTTTGGGTTTCTTTTTTTAAAAGAGTTATTTAAGGATATTGATCATGTGAATTTGTCACCCCCAAAATCTAGCACATTGTCTGATACATAGGTCAGGCTTACTGGATGTTTTGATAAAACCTCACTATCTACTCACTATAGCAGAAACACTAAGAAAAGCAAATTTAAACATTATTGAAGTTACTCATGGTAGCTCAAGCCTGTAATCCTAGCTACCTTGAGAGGTGGGGGTTGGAGAATAATGGTTCAAGGCAAAAAGTTCACAACACTCCCATCTCATGGTTCAAGGCAAAAAGTTCACAACACTCCCATCTCAACCAATAGCTGGGCATGGTGGTGTGTACCTGACATCCATAGTGATAGGAGGAAGTACAAGTAGGAGTGAAAAGCAACTCAATGTACTAAAGTCAGTTTTATGTACAGAGAAATTAAATCCAGGTACAAATTTACTAATAAAAATGGCTAACAGGGGGCTGGGAAGATGGCTCAGTGGTAGAGCGCTTGCCTTGCATGCCTGAGGCCCTGGGTTCGATTCCTCAGCACCACATAAGCAAAAAGAAGAAAGCCGGAAGTGGCGCTGTGGCTCAAGTGGTAGAGTGCTAGCCTTGAGCTGAAGAGCTGAGCGACAGCGCCCAAGCCCAGAGTTCAGGCCCCATGACCGGACCCCCCCAAAAAAATGGCTAACAGTGGGGCGCTGGTAGCTCACACATATAATCCTAGCTACTCAGGAGGCTAAGATCTGAGAATCCCCTTTCAAAACCAGCCAAGGCATGAAAGTGAGACTCTTACCTCCAATAAACCACTCAGAAAACCAGAAGTGCGCTGTGGCTCAAGTAGTAGAGTGCTGGCCTTGAACTGAAGAGCTGAGGGACAGCACCCAGGCCCAGAGGTCAAGACCAATTTAAAAAAAAAAAAAAGGCTAACATTGCTGGGTGCCAGTGGTTCACATCTATAATCCTAGCTACTCAGGCCAAGATTGAGGGATTATAGTTTGAAGCTACATCAGGCCAAAAAGTCTTTGAGACCCAATTAACCAGCAAAAAAGAGGTCTGGAGTTGTGTCTTAATTGGTAGAATACCAGCTATGAGCAAACAATCAAGCCGAGTGAGCATGAGGCTTTGAGTTCAGGCCCAGGAACTGGCAGGAGAGGGGGGATGAGGGGAAAATGGGAGGGCGGGAATAAAGGAATAAATATTCTTTATTTAACATTTATTCTGAACTTCTTTTGCACACTATAATTTGATCTTCATAACAAGCACTGGAGGTAAAATTTTACCTATATGAGAAAACATACAGAGAGGTTAACATATTTGTTCAGAGCTATAACTTAGTAATTGAATTAATTTCTTAGGAACTTAAATTTGAAAATAGTCCATGAGCATCTATAGTTTTAACCTGAATCTTAAGCTGTAGGTAGAACTTACTGATCTGGATGTCTCACTATATGTTATATAGCATGTCACTTAAAAAATATTTTTATATTATAAATGTTGTTATTAAGTAATTGTGCAAGGGGGTTACCATTCCCTAAGTCATGTTATGAGCACAATGCTTCTTGGTCAATGTAACCTGTCCCTCCGCGCAGCCCCCAATTAAGTTTCTACCTTCCTGTTCCTCCCCTCAAGTTACAAAGTTCATTTTTTACATAATGTACATTTGCTCACCCTTTGTGTCTTTCAACTTCCTGGTGTTTTGATAAACAGTACTTGTTCAGGGGAGTTACACCTACGTATTCCTCCTCTGTAGAATTGGTCTATAAATTGAATTTACTAGTTGAATCGTATAAATATGAAATGTAGTAATAGTTGCTTCTTATTTTCAGATACAGGTATCCCCATTTTTACAACAGATGTTTATGCCTCTACTTCATGCAATTTTTGAAGTGCTACGCCGACCAGCAGAAGAGAATGACCAGTCAGCAGCTTTAGAGAAGCAAATGTTGCGGAGGAGTTACTTTGCCTTCCTGCAAACAGTCACTGGCAGTGGAATGAGTGAGGTTATAGCAAATCAAGGTGGGAATTCCTGCCAGGCCTATTTTGTCTGCTTAAGTTCTTGCCACAGTAGTAACATGCACATGAACGGGTGAATGGAGGTAGATTTGACATTTTAATATTTTTAGCCAGTCCTGGGACTTGAACTCAGGGTTTTGGGCACTCACTGTTCCTGAGCTTCTTTTGCTCAAGGCTAGCACTCTATCACTTGAACCACAGCACTACTTCCAGCTTTTTCTGCATATCTGGTACTTAGGAATCAAACCTAGGGCTTCATGCATACAAGCACTCTGCTACTAAGCCACATCCCAGCCCAACATGAAACTTTGAAATAGTTTTATGTTGGCCTCTAAGAATAGTTCGTTATTTTTAGCATAGAAATCAATTATTTTCATGAAAAGTACCTTAAAATTAATTTTTGTGCCAGGCGCTGGTGGCTTAGGCCTATAATCCTAGGTACTCAGGAGGCTGAAATTTGAGGATCGCAGCTTAAAGCCACCCTGGACAGGAAAGTCCATGAGACTTACCTCCAATAAAACGCCAGAAAACCGGAAGTGGCACTGTAGCTCAAGTGGTAGAGTGCTAGCGTTGAGCTGAAGAGCTAAGGGACAGCACCTAGGCCCAGAGTTCAAGCCCCATGACCAACAAAAAAATTAATTTTTGTTCAGTTTCTCTTTAGTAATACTCTGCTATATATATTTATATATAATACTATTGTTTCTTTAATAATACTCTAGTGGCCAAATTGCCATCTCAAACACAGATAAGAGCCACATTGCCAGTGGCTCATGTGTAAACCTAATTAGGAGGATGAGATCTGAGGATTGTGATTTGAAGCCAACCCAGGCAGGAAAGTCCATGATACTCTTCACCAATTAACCAAAAAAAAAAAAAGCCAGAGGCAGAGCTGTGGTTCAAATGATAGAGCACAAGCCTATCTGGGATATCACCCAGACTCTTGAGTTTAAGCCCTAGGACCTGCATTAAAAAAAATAAGTATATTAAATAAGAAAAATAGGCAATGCAATGCTTGGTAAGAAATGTATGCATTATCCTTCCCATGTAATTGTAACCCCTCTGTACAGTATGTTCACAAATAAAATAAAATTAAATTAAAAAAAAAAGAAAAGAAAAATAGGCAAGATTATATAGATCAAGGTAGAAAATTCTGTTACATAAGAAATGCATAGGGCTGGGCACCAGTGGCTCACAACTATAATCCTAGCTGCTCAGGAGGCTGAGATCTGAAGATCATGGTTCAGAACCAGCCTGGGCAGGAAAGTCCATGAGACTCCTATCTCTAATAAACCACCAGAAAACTGCAAGTGGCACTGTGGCTCAAGTGGTAGAGCCCTTGCTTTGAGCTGAAGATTCCAGGGACAGTGCCCAAGCCCAGAGTTCAAGCCCCACAACCGACCAAAAAAATTAAAAAAAAAAAAAAAAGAAATACACAGGACATGATATCAAGGGAATATTGGCTTGTGCTTAAAATTTAGATGTCCAGTTAATAAAGATCAAGGTTTTTTGTTTTTTGTTTTTATCAACTCTATAAATACCTTTGGACTTGTTACTGTATATGAAATGAGAGTTTCAGCTTGCCTTTTTATATTTTGTGTGTGTATGTGTTTGTTTTGCAATTACACTAGTTTTTTCTCTTCAGGCGCAGAAAATGTAGAACAAGTGCTGTTTACCATTATTCAAGGAGCAGTTGACTATCCGGATCCAATTGCACAGAAAACATGTTTTATCATTCTCTCAAAGCTGGTGGAACTCTGGGGTAATTTTTTTTCCTTTGGATGCTGGGAATCAAACACATTGGTCAAGCATTCTGCCACTGAGCTACAACCCACACACACCTGATAATGTAGTGTATTTTTTTTTTTAACCTTCATTCCCTGACCTGTTTCGTAAGATTTAGTCCAAACATTAGTGGGAACTGGGACTTGGATTTTTCTCTTGTATTAGATTGACATTCTTTTATGCATCATGAAAATTTGAATTCTCTTGACAGGAGGTAAAGATGGACCAGTGGGATTTGCAGATTTTGTTTATAAGCACATTGTCCCTGCTTGTTTCCTGGCACCTTTGAAACAAACTTTTGACCTGGCAGATGCACAAACAGTACTGGTAAACTCCTACTATCTTTATTTGCCTTTTGTATATTATATTTCTTAGTTCCTTCTTTAATGCCAGAGGTTGTGTTTTATTGACTTGCAATGCTGGGGATCAAATCAGCGACCTTGCATATGCTCGTATCACGGTCTGCAGCCCCAGCCTCTCCTACTACTTTACCTACACTTTTCCCTCCTATTAAGAGCATCAAGTGACCTTCATGTGATAGCTTCCCACAATCTTACCTTGCTAATTTGTCAGATAGTTCTCCTTTTCTTAGTTCTCAACTCTATTTCTCAATTCTCCACAAACTAGTAAGAGCTGAGTTTGGTAATTATAATTTATTACATTAAAATGCACATTTTTTTCTCTCTTCCTATCCAACTCACTTACTCCCCTGTGTATTATCCACCATCCTGTCCTCTGTTCCTTCTTTGTTTCTAAGGAAATATTTACTTAGGAGTATATATTTTTCCTGCAATGGCCAAACAAAAAGTTGGATTAGTAACTAAAAATGGTGTTAAATTTCTTGTTTTTCACAGGCTCTATCTGAGTGTGCTGTGACACTGAAAACAATTCATCTCAAACGGGTAAGATTTGTGGTCTATGCTCTTTTATTCTCATTTCATATAATCGTTGGTATGGTTTTAATTGTGTTTGATTCACATTCTTGAGTCAGTGTGGTGGGGTACCCCTGCAATCTCAGCTACTTTTTTGTTTTTTTTGGTGGTGGGGTTTGAACTGTGGGCCTGGGTGCTGTACCTGAGCTCTTCAGCTCATGGCAAGTAAGTGCTCTACCACTTGAGTCACAGCACCCTTCTAGTTTTCTGGTGGTTAATTGGAGAAGAGTCTCAGGAACTTGTATGCCCCAGCTGGCTTTGAACCATGATCCTCAGATCTCAGCCTCCTGAGTAACTAGGATTATAGGTGTGAACTACTGGCTCCTGGCAGTCTCAGCTACTTGTAGAGATTAGAAGGATCATAATTAAAGGCCAGCCTATGCATTCTTATCTCCAATAAACCACTAGAAAACCGGAAGTGGCATTGTGGCTCAAGTGGTAGAGCCCTAGCCTTGAGCTAAAGAGTTCAAGGACAGCGCACAACCCTAGAGTTCAAGCCCTACAACTGACAAAAAGAAAAAATATACAAAAATGAATAAATATCCCCTGTATTGGTAGAGCTCAGAATCTAAGAGAGCCACTGCATAAAACTTAAGATGTATAAAATTTGTAGAACTAAAGCTGAGAAAAGCAGTTTTTACCCCAGGAAGGATTTAGGCAAGGATTTAGGGAGGAGGTAGGTCTTAAAACTAATGTATATTGGTTAGACTGACAAAAGAAGGTATGCTGGCACTCTGGGTAGTGAAGTGATTGTATAATGGATCAGATGTTGCATAGTGAATTTGCTGGAAAGTAGGTTTTCTTGTTAACATGTGGAGGCAGAAGTATAGCTAAAAAGTAATGCGAATAGATAGTTAAAAGCTTTTTTTTTGCTGGTCATGGGGCATGGGCATTGTCCCTCAGCTCAAGGCTAGCCCTCTACCACTTGAGCCGCAGCGCCACTTCTGTTTTTTTCTGCTTATGTGGTGCTGAGAAATCGAACCCAGGGCCTCATGCATGCAAGACAAGCACTCCACCACTGAGCCACCTTCCCAGCCCTGTTAAAAGCGTTGTTTAAAGCCAGGCACAGTGGAACATACCTGCAATCCCAGCACTTGGGTAGCAGTGGCAGAAGGATTGAGTGTACAGGCTAGCCTGTGCTATAATTTTTTTTAATTGTAAAGATACTATACAGAGGGGTTACAGTTACATGAGTACATTTCCTGCCAAGCAGTTACCCCCTCCTTTGTTTTCCCCCTACCATCCCTTCCCTCCCCACCTCCCTAATTCCCCCCCCCAATTTATAAAGTTTGTGTCTTAGTGTCTTGTATAATTTTTTTAAGCCTTTTGTTAAAAATGTGAAAATTGGGGAAGTTAATAGGCATTAGGGTTGTAATTTAGGTGAGGTAGGTGGGAAAAAACATTCAGAGAGCTCTTTGGAATATAGGTGTGAAGGAGGTTGATCAAAATATGGATTTCACTTTGGTGTTTGGTAAAGTGAAGAGAGTGAAAGAATTAGTCAGGTCATGACTTTATTTATCTTTTTGAAAAATTAAGACTGAGATGATTTGTTAATCTTATTAAGTACTCTGATATAAAACTTGATTTAAAAAAAGCCAGGCGCCAGTGGCTCTGGCCTGTAATCCTCAGGAGCCTGAGATCTGAGGATCACGATTCAAAGCCAGCCCAGGCAGGAAAGTCCATGAGACTCTTACCTCCAATAAACCACTAGAAAACTGGAAGTGGCGCTGTGGCTCAAGCGGTAGAGCACTCGCCTTGAGCTGAAGAGCACAGGGACAGTGTCTAAGACCAGAGTTCAAGCCCCACGACTGACCAAAAAAAACACACACAATAAGAGGTCACAGACCAGCAAATAAACAAGATGGCTTTTGGCTACTTTAAACTTGCTACTACCACACTATTAGCATAACATTCTCATCACTTTGAACAAAAGGGTCCAAATAACTAATGAAAGTTTTACTCCTTTGTTTAAAAAGTTCATTAAAGCTTTAACTACCTGCTGGTTTATTTATTTATTTAGTTTTTGGTTGGTCATGGGGCTTAACTCTGAGCCTGAGCACTGTCCCTCAGCTCTTCAGCTCAAGGCTAGCGCTCTACCACTTGAGCTACAGCATCACTTCCGATTTTCTGGTAGTTTATTGGAGATAGGAATTTCACAGACTTTCCTGCCTGGGCTAGCTTTGAAGCATGAACCTCAGATCTCAGCCTCCTAAGTAGCTAGGATTACAGGTGTGAGCCACCAGTGCCCAGCTTAAAATTTTTTTTAATTTTTTTTTTTTTTTTTTGGTGGACCTGGGGCTTGAACTCAGGGCCTGGGTCCTGTCCCTGAGTCTCTCTGTGCTCAAGGCTAGAGCTCTACCACTTGAGCCACAGTGCCATTTCTGGATATTTCTGCTTATGTAGTACTGAGGCATCAAACCCAGGGTTTCATGCATGCTAGGCAAGTATTCTACCACTGAGCTGAGCTACATCCCCAGCCTAACAATATTTTTAAAAAAATTTCAGTTAAGAGTTGGGTGCCAGTGGCTCACTCCTGTTATCCTACCCAGGAGGCTGAGATCTGAGGATAATGGTTTGAAGCCAGCTCTAGCAGGAAAGTCTGTGATACTCATCTCCAATTAACCACCAGAAAACCAGAAATGGTGCCATGGCTAGCCTTGAGCTATAGAGTTCTGGGACAGCACCCAGGCCCAGAGTTCTAGACCTATGACAGACCAAAAAAAGAAAAATTCAGTTAACATGAGATTTAGCGAAAACATTGCTAAATTTTGAAGGCAATTCAGTTGGTTTCTATGCTATAAGAAATTCTTGTTTTGAGTGTATGAATTAGTAAAGAAGATTATATTATAGGCTTCAAGTCACAAATTTATATAGGTTATTAGCATTATCTTTAAATATATAATATAAACAAAATTGTACATGCATGGCATAATTAACTTTGTTTTCCAAAACAATAGGCAATTCATTAGCTAAAGACAGTGTATTCTGCAGAAATAAAAGGTACATCTGAATGAAATACATGCCCCTTTGTTTCTTTATAATTGTGTTATGAAGCCTTTGCTTACATTTTGACAAAATAATAAACACCGTTCATTTTATTATTTCCATTCTATTTTTCATTTTTGTCTTCAGCAAATACCGGTATTTAAGACATAGCATTAACAGATCATGACTTTAAATGAAGAGTCCAGAGCAACCTAGAAGTAGACCCTAGGGCCAAGTATGTTATGGGAATTAAAAAGTAAAAAGGCTTAGGAGAAAGACCAGTAACATTGTTGGATGTTGGAGACTTGAGGTAGATGGGGAATGAAAAGGAGTTGGAATGCTTTTTATAGTTGAAAAGCATTTGTCCATAGAAATCCTAATTTAAATACAGAATTAAGTGAAGCAGTATTCAGAAATGTATTTCTTCATGTTTCCTCATTGTGTAACTACTTTGCGCACAAACATTTTTCCAGTTTTTATTTTAAAGATCAGTATTTTTAATAATAGAGGGGTTGTACAAGATTATGAGAAGTAGAGAGGGTTGACCAAAGGAAAAGGTAAGAAGGGAACAAGGTAGTGTTAGCTCTCCTCAATTAACAGATCTTATTTGACCTCTCCTTAAGTTTAAAACTAGACCTATTGGCTTACAGAGCTAGTAATCAAGGCAGAATGAACATGAACAAATCCTTTGAGGAGCAGTAATATTCAACACCAAATCCAGGTGTTAATGCAAAAAGTTAGTTGAAAAAGATGGATTCATTTGATTTTAGCGACTGCTACTTTCAGGTTGTGACAATCAACATATTTAAAGCCTTTAAAAGTCAAATTCAGATTTGAAAGTGAAATTGCTAAAGGAAAACCATTTTTAAATGGTATCCTAGTTTTCTTTGTAGAAGCAGGGAAGGAGTGAGATAGAGGGGTTGGTTTGTAAGAGTTCTCTATTCCTTTCACCAAGCTTATTCCCATACCCCCATAAAGATAAAAGTGAAGATATAGGTATAGATGGATGGATGGATGGATCATGTACTAGATCACCTCTCTTGATGTTCAGTGGTCTCAAGTTCAGTGACTTTTAAATGCTTTTTAGTAAAAATTGAATCAGCTGCAGACAAGCAATTCCTCATTCATGGTTTAATCTATTACATCTGGCTACTAAATCCCTTATTGAATGGGAAAAGAAAGGTGTGCTTTTAGAACTGTTATTTTCTATCATATTTTGTTCCTCCTTACTTGCCTGTACTTTGATTTCTAAAGATAGTCATTATCCTGGCACTGCTCACCACTTGGAGGCTTTCCCTCATCCCACAGACATCTGTAATCCACACAGTGGGAGACTGACAGGAGCACTTGTGTTTGCTGTCCCTTTTCAGTACATGGAAGGTTCTACCTTTGTGGCCTGGATTTAGAAACAATCTTTAGCAGTACTTAACACTAATCATGATATTATGAAGTGAATATTGAGATATTCTAAACTTTGTTTCTTAATTCATCAGATTCTCATAGTAACCTTTTTTTTCTTCCTGTGCTAGAGAACAGACACAGGCATGCTCCACAAGTGCTCTGTCTCTCAGCTACAGCCTCAACCCCTACTAACCTAATTTTTTTCAATGGAGAAGCTTAGGTTCTGAAATAACCAGGCTTCAAATCAAGGCAATCTGGTTCTAGAGTCTTTGTTCTTAATAATCTGTTGCCATTAAAGTGTGTGTTGTGTGTGTGTGTGTGTGTGTTGCTCCAATTACTAAGTGTTACTAATCTCCAAAAAGAAAATAACTTGGTTGTAATTATCTTTTAATCTTAGGGTCCAGAATGTGTTCAGTATCTTCAACAAGAGTATCTGCCTTCCTTGCAAGTAGCTCCAGAAATAATTCAGGTAAGAGCTTTCCTAGTAAATTTAGATCTTAATTTAGTTAAGTAAAGGTGAGTATATACTTCAATTTAAATTTTAATGCAAGAAAACCACACTGAGCCAGGAGACTGAGGATTGAAGTTCAAAGCTAGTCCAGGCAGGAAAGTCCATGAGACTCTTAACTCCAGTTAACAACCTAAAAATGAAAATGGACCTCTGGCTCAAGTGATAGAGCTAGCTTTGAGCTGAAGAAGAATGCTAACTTTGAGCCAAAGGTTTATATACAGTGAGTGGGCCCTGGCAGGCCCTGTACCAGTACAACAAAGAGACCGAGAGGGCTGGGAGTACGGCTTAGTGGTAGAGTGCTTGCCTTGTGTGCTGAAGCTCTGGGCTCAATTCCTCAGCACCACATAAAAGGAAAAAGCTGCAAGTGGCCCTGTGGCTCAAGTGTTAGAGGGCTAGCCTTGAGCAAAAGAAGCTCAGGCACAGTGCCAAGGCCCTGAGTTCAAGCCCTAGCACTGGCAAAAAAAAGAGAGAGAGAAAGCCAGATTGCATTCTCTTGATTTTTTTTTTTTTTTAATAAAATTGAGTTACTTCATGCCAGGTGCTAGGGGCTAGCTACACAGGAGGCTGAGATCTGGGATCCTTGTTCAAAGCCCACCATGTAGCCAGATCTGAGAGACTCTTCAATTAATTAGCACACAGCCAGAAGTGGAGGTGTGGGTCAAGTTGTAAAACACCTGCCTTGAGCGGAAAAGCCAGGCAAGAGCACGAGGCCCTGCATTCAAGCTCTAATGCTGGCACCAAAAACAAAACAAAACAAAGCGGAGTATTTCGTTATTTCATAGCCAGGAGGTCCCACTTAAGTTGAATAGGGAAAACACACACACACACATACACAATACACACATACACAATACACACATACACAATACACACATACACACACACACACACGTTTTATTTTCTCTAACCTCTACCAGAAATTTATTTTCCTACAATTGTGTAAACGACATAACAGTGGTGGTAGTAGTAGTACTGCTATTACTTTGTCTAGTAGAAATTTCAGATATTTTTATATCACAGAAGTTTGTACATATATCTTGAATATCACTTGAATATATCGTATGCATATCACTATATTGAAGTTTGAGTTACTAAGTAATTCACTATGCTATGTTACCTACTAAGGGATAAGTGCTAACACCACACTTTAGTTTTATAATTGCTTTCCTTTTTAATCCTGCAGTATTACATTTTATGTATTTTAAACATTCCAAAATGATTCTAAAGCTGAGTAGGCTTTCCTAGACTGCCAAGGGAACTGTAACCAATAGAATATCTTTTCTCCTGGAGTTGTGGCTCAGTGTTAGAGAGCTTGCCTGGCATGCCAAAATAATGTGTATATGGAGAGGGGGCGAGATTAATCCTCAACACTGAAAAAAAAAATCTGAAGATACAGAACTAATAGCACATGGAGCTTAATAAGGTGTGTATATTCTACAGTTTGTTTCAGCAATTTTTTGGTTGGTTGGTTTGATTTCATTTTACTGTTGTAAGAAGACAGCATTCCATTATATGTGAATATTTTTTTCAATAGTTTATTAATTTGCATTTAGGCATAGGAAAAAAAGAGACTTGGCGAGAAAGGAAAACGAAAAAGGAGAGGAATGTACTCTTTTTCAGCTGCTCAAATTTCGCATCAACCATGTGCAGAGGTTCCAGTTTCTCTATATCCACATCAACTAAGTCTTTTATGTAGTTGGGAAGTTTTTGTGTTTATTTTGTTGTTTTCTTTCGAGATGAGTTACAGGTTAGTTTAGAAATCACTGTATCCTCCTTCAGGCTCCTTGTACAAATGTGTACCACTGCACCTAGCTGCTGTTGTTTTCTAGCTTTTTATTTGTGTTTTTTTGTTTGGGTTTTTGTTGTTTGTTTGTTGTGGTCAATTGGGCTTGAATTCAGTGCCTGGGCACACTATTCCTTAGATTTTCTGCTCAACACTAGTGTTCTACTTTCAGACACAGCCTCACTCCTGTTTTCTGGTAGTTAAATGGAGATGAGTCTCACAGATTTTCCTGCCTAGGCTAGCTTTGAACTGCAGTCCTTAGAACTCAGCCTACTGAGTAGGAAGGATTAGAGGCATGAGCCACCAATGCCCAGCTCTTTTTGTTTTCTTTCAGCTATACTGAAGTATGAACTCATGGTCTTGTGCTTACTGGACAGTTAATTTTTCACATAGGGTATCACTTCCTGCACAGGTGTGTGTCTGGATCTCGGTCATAATTCTCTGTCATCTCCTTGGGTAACAGCACTCGTCCTGAGTAGGCCACTCATCCTTCCATGCATATTGGATTCCCACAGAAATCTTTAAGGCCTTTATGAGCAGCTTTCTCTCCCACTTGTTTTTCAAGAGTGTCCTCATTCTTTTCTACTATTTCTTTTTTGATAGCTCTGTGCTCAACTTATTGTTCTTGATCTCTATATCTACTTGGACCTGCTTTCCACTATCTACTAAACAGAATCACATGAAGGCTGATGGTGTCATGTTTATAAGTATCAAGATCTGTACCTTTTTTTTTTTTAATTACATTTGAGCCATGTTGAAAACATGAATTCTTTTGGTGCTTTGCCCAGTTCCCTGCATGTTTTGTATTTCACTATCATGATCTTTATCAAATCACTGACCCCTAGTTACCACAAGTGCTGTAGTTCCTCTTCTTGGGAATAATGGCGAGTGAGCAGGAAGTAGATACTGAGAGTGTGGAAAACACCACTATACCAGGAATACTTCACCCTTTTTCTAGTCACCATTTCTTACTTTTGGATCCTTTTAGATAGTAAGGACATTTTAATACTGGGTTTTTCAACTATGATTTTAAGAAGTTTCTCTGTATAAGTAGTAAGATTGCTTGCTTAGCATGTATAAGGCTCTGAGTTCCATACCCAGTGCTAGGGTGAAAATAAGAATGTTCTGAAGGGGGCTGGGAAGATGGCTCAGTGGTAGAGCGCTTGCCTTTGCATGCCTGAGGCCCTGGGTTCGATTCCTCAGCACCACATAAGCAAAATGGAAAAAAAATGCTGGAAGTGGTGCTGTGGCTCAAGTGGTAGAGCACTAGCCTTGAGCTGAAGAGCTGAGGGACAGCGCCCAGGCCCAGAGTTCAGGCCCCACAACCGGACCCAAAAAAAAAAGAATGTTCTGAAAAGTTCTTACAGTGAGTCAGGTGCTGGTATCTCATACCTGTAATCTTAGCTATTCAGGAGGCTGAGATCTCAGAACTGTAGTTTGAAGCCAGCCCAGGCAGAAAAGTCTATGAGATTCTTAATCTCCAATAAAATTCCAAAAGTCAGAAGTGGAGTTGTGGCTCAGTTGGTGGAACATTAGCCTTGAGCAAAAAATGCTCCAGAATAGTGTCTAAGTCTATAATTCTGTTCTTTTAGATAACTATAAAGGCTGGGAATGTAGCATGCATGAAGCACTTGGTTCGATTCCTCAGTACCACATAAACAGAAAAAGTTGGAAGTGGGGCTGGTAGAGTGCTAGCCTTGAAAAAAAAAATTTTTTTTAATTAAAAAAGCCTGGTGCTCATAGCTCATACCTGTAATTCTAGCTACTCAGGAGGCTGAGATCTGAGAATCACAGTTTAAAGCCAGTCCAAGCTGGCTTTAATCTGGCTTGAATCTCCAATTAACCACCAGAAAACCAGATGTCGCATTGTGGCTTAAAAGTGGTAGAATGCTAACTTTAAGCAAAAAAACTCAGAAAAGTACCTAGGCCCTAATTTCAAGTCCCCATGACTGAACCCCCGCCCCCACCCAACAAAAAGATAATTGTAAAGAAACTTCAATTTTCCTTTTTCATAGGCCTTATGTTCTAATAGATATAGAATTTCGGTTCTGCAAGATGAAGAAACCTTTAGTGATATGCTATGCATGTAGTTAGCACTACTGTCCATGTAAAAGTGGTTAAGGTGTCTTTTTTTTTTCTCAGTTTTTTTTAAAAAAAGGATATACTGTGAGTCTGGTTAAGATGGATTTCATGCAAACATATTGATTCTCCCTTTTCTCTCCTTCCTTCCTCACCCCATTCCCACCCCAGGAGTTTTGTCAAGCACTTCAGCAGCCTGATGCTAAAGTTTTTAAAAATTACTTAAAGGTATGTATTTGTAAACAAACAAAAACTGTCTTAGCTTCAAACAGTTAAATAACGGAAGAATTCATAGAAACATAAAAGTTGTTTCTAAGAATCTGTAATAATAGAGTTTCTATGAAACTACTTGCTACTAAACTCTTGCAAATCTTAATATATGCAGGGCTGGGCAGATGGCTCAGTGGTAGAGTGCTTGCCTTGCATGCATGAGGCCCTGGGTTTGATTGCTCAGCACCACATAAGCAAAAAAAGCCAGAAGTAGCGTGTGGCTCAAGTGGTAGAGCACTAGCCTTGAGATGAAGAGCTGAGGGATGCACCCAGGCCCAGAGTTCAGGCCCCTCGACCAGCAAAAAAAAAAAGTTACATATGTACAGTTTTCTTGGACAGTTTTCTGATGTCTATTTTATTTTTTTATTTTTTTGGTTGTCCCTCAGCACTCTACCACTTGAGCCACAGTGTCACTTCCAGGTTTCTGGTGGTTAATTGGAGATGATTCTCAGGAACTTGCATGCTCCAGCTGGATTTGAACCGTGATCCTCAGATCTCAGGCTCCTGAGTAGTTAGGATTACAGGCGTGAGCCACCGGTGCCCAGCAGAGTTATTCTTTACATGAGAGATTTTCTGGCATTTGAATTAATTGCTCTAATCCTTTATTTTACAGGTGTTCTTCCAGAGAGCAAAACCCTAAAGACTGGATGTTCCCGTGCCTAATTCATGATCAGGAATTCCAGTTAATTATAAAGAAGTTGTTTTTATGTGCCATTCACACTGGTCTTTTTTTTTTAATTGTTCTGAGCTTATTGTAGTGTATGTATTGAGATTTTTATGTAAAAAGGGTGTAATTTTCCCTCAATACAGGTATGTGACAACAAAAGTTGCTTGCATGCCAGCTCAAATTGTTTTACATAAAAATGCTGTTAAGACACAGCAGAGTTATCTTATCCTAGTACCTTAGTTGTTGTTTCTTTCTTTATTTGAAACTGACGTCCTTTATAAAGAACATAGCAATGGACAACAGTGTGCTTTTTTAGGGGAAAAAATTGCTGAGCATAAAGTTTGAATAAATTTAGTTTTCTTTTATATGTGCAAACACATAAAATATGGGATGAATGCAACAATCACAACTAGATAGCCATTACATTTCTTTAAACTTTCAATGCCAATGTGTATTCTACAAGAGAATGGGTTCATTAAGTTAGCCGATCTAAAAGTAGATTGAGGGTATTAATACATTTTTTATAAAAAAAATAAATTTTATGTAGTGAAATCTACAAAGTCTTTTCTGGAATTATTATAAAGATTCTAGCCTTATTTTCTCATCTTATCACTCTGATTTCCAATTTAAAGGTTTCCAAATTAGATATGGATGCCTTGTTTCATTTAATATGCTCCTAAAAGATTATCTGTTAGATAAATCTTCTTTAAAATGCATTAGAATGTGTTTACAGAAGTAAAAATAACCATGATTTTCCTCTGTCATTGGATGTACTTAGGAGCACAATGTACCTATGTGTTTATGATAATTGTAAATAATCAGCCACTACTTACTATAAAGAACTTCCCCTGCTTTTCTCCATGTTTATCCATAGCTACATAAGAGAGCAAGAGGAAAAAATAGTATCAGTTAGTAGCATTGGAGGAGAGACATAATGACAAAACTGAGCAGCAGAGTATCTACAAACACAAGTTTAAAAAATGTTAAAGCCCAATGAAGTCTTTAATGGGATTTGGGTTGTGACTTGGTAGGCTCTTGATTTTACTAGTACCCAGTTCAATCCATAACACCATAAAAAGAAAAGGGAAAAAAAGTTTTTATTAGGGTTTTGTTTTTGTTTTTTTTAACCTTTGGCCAATGTGTTGCCTAGTGCTTTTCTTGATAAGCTTTAGTGGCCTGTAAGATCCCTAGAACTTTATACTAAATTGTGTAAAGTATGAGTCTTTCTGGGTTTTATTCCAGAAGAGCCTTATATATTTTCCTTACATCATGGAATAAAGGTATTAAACTAAATTTAACAGTTAACTATAAAAATAAATCAGTCGAATGTACTTAAAATGTTTATAAGAATAGATAAGTGAAAATTTTGTGTTTCTTTGCTTGGTTCCCCTATACCATGGAAAGATAAGTTTCCTCTGTTGCAATAGTAGAAATTACTGGAAGTATACTCACTCATAGCATAGGATAGTAAAGTTTATAGAATATGGCCTCTCTACCCAGATTAAGTAGTTGAAACACCAGTTATGGCAGTAACTGGCTTAGAATCTTGAGTACATTAAAAAGCTTCATCCTGCCTTAGTTTGTCTCTCATAAGTGGGGGAAAATAATGGTAGCTACCTCATAACTCATTAAGAATTCAATGAGTTAAACATGAACTTCTTACAGTAGCTAGCACATTGAGGCTTTGATACTAGTTTGTATGCTATACTATTCCATATGTAGAAAAATAAAACATTTTCCCCTAGGTCCTTAAAACCCTTCAGTAAAATCATGTGTGGAAAATCAGGACATGGAAATGAGCATGTAAATAGAAATTAAATTTCATGTTATATATCATGTATATTTCCATCTTTGTTCCTTGATGTTTCCCCAAGCATCACAATCAGGAAACTATCCCATCATTAATTACCTTATTTCAGAAAGCAAACACCCAAGTAACTTGTCCCAAGGATGACTTTCACTTGTTACAGATGGGATAAGGGAGACAAGACTTTTAGGAATTTGGGTAACTTGACTATGGAACCACAGGGTTTTTTGGTACCTGATTTAATCCTGTGCCTGACAGTTTTATTTTTCAGTCTTAATGCTAATGTTGTTTCACAAGTGGCTTGACCTTTTTAAAAAGTACTGTGTGGCATTTTAATCATTTATGTGGTAAGTTCTTGGGCTCAGCCACATTTTCTCCCACAACTTTGTGCTGGGAATCTTACTATTAGGAGAACCTTTTGACAGGCTTTTCTCTTGTTATTCAGTAACTGAAATGTTGAAATTGTAAGCGGTGAAAAGATTTGTTCAAATGATTTCATCTCAAAAGTTTAAAATTCTAATAAATTAATTTCCTTTGTAAGAACTCGTTGGAGTGGAATTTTTTTAACTCCATTGTGAATTTGATAAGCACAACACCACACACAAACTGAAGCTAGACAGAGAAGAAAATTTGCTTGTAGCCAGTTACAGGCGGAGATACAACCTCTGATCAAAGTCCTGCTGAGAGTGGCTCTAAGTGCAGTGGTTTCCTCCTCTTGGTATTTGCTGCATTACTGTTCTGGACTGGAAGCCTTCTCGCTCCAAGTCGTTGCCTTCCCTGTGTGCAGACGTGTGCGCAAAGGACCCCTTTCTAAGGAATAGCTGCTTTTGAGCAGAACCTGATTTTAGTACTGGTTTTAGTTCTTAAATTGAAGTTGGTACTGAAACCTATTGCCATTTTGGGAAGGAGGAAATTAGGTCAACAGATTAAGATTGTCATTTCCGACTGGGGAGGGGAGCCGGCTCCACGGAAGCCCGGCGACTTCTGATCCCCGGGGCTGTGACCGTGCCCTCCGCAGTCCCGCGCGTCCAGCCTTCTGCCTACTTGTGATTTTGGGAATGTTTGCCACCACTCCTCCTCCACCAGCAGCGCTTGGGCTCCGGGACGGGGCGGGATTTGCAGTGGCGGGGTTGTTGACGATGCTCCACCGGGCTGCGGAGTGAGGCGGGTTCTCTCCGCTACAGTCGCCGCCACTACGGTCCCGGAGCAGCTCCGGCCCTGCGGCGGAAGCTGTAAACTGAGTGCATCGGACTGAGCGGCAGGCAGGCAGGCTGGCGTGCGCATGCGCGCTGGCCGTCGGTCACGTGGTCCTCGGTCAGGACTGGCGAAGCCGGAAGTAGCCTGGGGCTCTGGAAGGCCGCCGGAGCCCGCTGGCGGTGGCGCGGGCGAGACTCGCCTGGGTAAGTGGGGTGGGCGCGGGTGGAGAGGCCGAGCCTCGTGGGCTGGGGCGGTGCGGCCTACGGCGGCCGGCTGTTCCTGTGGGAAGGTGGCGTGCTGAGTCAGAGGAGGGGCCGGGTGGGCGACCTGACGGACCCCTCGCTGACCTGCGGCCGAGCTCTGCGCCGACTCCGCCTCGCTCTGTCTGCAGTGTCCGGAGCGGGGGTGAAGTCTCGGGCCCCGCGCCCTGCATCTCCCGGCCGGTTCTCTCACCGGAGCCCTGGGCCCTGGTAGATGCTGCGGCCGCGGTGGGTAGGCGGAGGACAAGCCCAGGCAGGTGACCGGGTGTGGGCCTGACCCCCGGAGCGGGGGAAGAGCGGCCTTTCCCGGCGGAGTTGAATACCCCGCTTCCCCCCCACCCCGCACACGCCGCCCCCTCTCCCCAGCCTTGACCCGGGGCGCAGTGCTTAAATGGACCGGTTTTTCAGATAGTTAGCCAGGGTCTCCGTGATGTGACCGGTTTTTTGGAGACACACCATGCAAATTCCGTAGTGTTTCCCAGCTCCTCCTAGGTGGCTGTGTTTTCGAAACCACTTCCCAGACACATTTAGTAGGTAGCCGCCAAACAGATTCTCCCTAGTGATTGTCAAGTGTATAACCCCCCCCCCCAACTGACTCCTCACCCTTTCCTGGAACCTCCACTGTAGTATCTATAGGTGAATGATGATCATTGTGGTTGAGTTTTGAAATCCTGGAACTTTGTCCGTAGGCCTTGTCACCAAACCAGTTTTCATCCTTTGTAACTTTCGCTTTGGCAGGTGAAACGAAGTGGACTTAGACCGCATCACCACTAATAGACTTGTTGAGTGCCTACCTCTATGGTTGTCAAAAATTAAGGAAGATTTATGTAGTAAGCACCTGGTGGGTGTGCTGAGTCATGTTTTACTTTGCTGTTAGGGTAGGGTTCCTGATACTCTCAAAAAGACATTTCCCCTGACCACTCTTGGGGAGCCATGTTTTGATGTCAGCGTATAGAGAAAGCAGTTATCTTAGTTGATGATTGGGGTTTTATAGTATCCACTAGATAAACACAAGTACTTAATGATACTGTTTGCCACTTAGCTGCAAGGGCAAAGTTACATTTATTAAGGAGGAGTCCCATGAGGTATTCCCATGAGTGGATTGCAGTAAATGGGGAAGATGGGTGTTCCTTATTGGTGTAAAGGAATTCGATTTTATTGCATATCTCCAGGAAATCCATGTATATAACATATCTTGGCTAAATTAGACTGGTGGTAAAGTTATGTAAATATATATGTTTGTATATAGAGATTTTTGAAATTCTGCATTCCTGGCCATTCTGTATGTTCCCAACCTATTTTATATTCTGTATATTCCTTCTTGGAGTTCCTTTTTCAACAAGAAATACTCAGTCTAGCAAACTGTTCTGCTCTAGTTTACTCTGGAAGGGTTTTAAGATTATGTTGTGATTTGACATGGTAGCAGGTTTAAGGGAGAATTGTTGGTCTGTTTTTGTTTGTTTGTTTATTGTTCAGAACCTGGGGCTTAAACTCAAGGTCTAGGAACAATACCTGAGCTTTTTTGCTCAAGGCTAGCACTTCACCTCTTGAACCACAGCTCCACTTGCAACTTTTTTTGGTGGTTATTTGGAGATCAGAGTCTCACAGATTTTCCTGCCCAATGTAGCTTTGAACCACAGTCCTCAAATCTCAGCCTCCTGAGTGACTAAGATAACAGGGCCCAGCAGGTCTACTTTTCTTTAGTTTAAAATTTTTATATATAATCTATCTCTTAGTACATGGGAAGCTGAGGAAGGAGAATTGCAATTCAAGGTTTGCCTGGACTATATAGTGAAACTATTTCAAAAAAAGAAAGTTATTATTGACTTACCTTTCAAAACATACGAAGTAGCTAAGTAACTATATCACATTTTGTCAAAGACCAAAGTCGAAAAATGGACCTTTCTTTCATTCCTGTGATGTGATTAATTTGAAAATATGACATGCAATTGGCTTAATGGTTTTTTTCAGCACCCACACAGCATGTTAGCCTTTAATACTTCTAGAAAGTAGCCAGTTGTCTGTTGCTCATGCCTATAATCCTAGCCACTCAGGAGGCTGGGATCTGAGGGTCTCAGTTTGAAGCCAGCCCAGGCAGAAAAGTCCCCATGAGACTCTTTACCTCCAATTAACCCCTCAAAAGCCAGAAATGAAACTGTGGCTCAAAGTGATAGAGCGCTAACCTTGAGCAAAAGATCTCAGGAACAGCACCCAGGCCCTGAGTTTAAGCCCCATCTCCCCCCCCCCAAAATTAAATAAATAAATATACATATTTTGCTGGAAAGATAGCTTTTTTACATTGTACATTTTTATAATTCAGCACATAGCAGTAAATAATTAGGATAGTATTGTGTGAGAGTAAGAATAGCTAACATTTGTTTTTAACTTTATCATTCCCTTAAAACATACATGCAAATATTTTCTTTTCCTTAGTGTTTAACACTACTTAAGCAGAGATGCAGAGCACTTCTAATCATCTGTGGCTTTTATCTGATATCTTGGGCCAAGGAGCTACTGCAAATGTCTTTCGTGGTAGACATAAGGTAAGCACAGTTACAACTTTCAAGTCTTTTTTTTCACTTTTCTGAGAAGTACATTTCTAGTAAACTGACAATAATTTAGAGTCTTTTTTGTGGCTATTTAGAATTTAGCATGTGTCAGAGACAGTGAACATATTTACCCAGTGGCGGCATAGTTATAGAATGGAGAAAAAAACAAGAAGTTGATTAAAAAGGGACTGGAGCCAAGTGCTGGTGGCTCCCGCCTGTAATCCTAGCTACTCAGGAGGCTGAGATCTGAGGATCACAGTTTGAAGCCAGCCTAGGCAGGAAAGTCCCTGAGACTCTTATTTCCAATAAACTACTCAGACAAAGCTGGAAGTGATGCTGTGGCTCAAGTGGTAAAGTGCTAGCCTGGAGCATAGAGAAGCTCAGGGACAGACCCCAAGCCCCAGGACTGACCAAAAAAAAAAAAAAGAGAGAGAGAGAGAGAGACTGGAGAACATAACTTTACAGTTGTGCCTTTTAAGTCTTTCTCTTCATCTACCTCCCTAATACTAGTGAGTGATCTCACTAAAACTGATTACCATGGGTTTGTATGCCCACAAAGATGGTATCCCACAAAGTAGATCCTCAACAAGGAGCCCAGGGTTAAGAACCTGTGACGTAATCACAACTTGGTAGCAGAAAAGGAAGTAAAAGGGATAAGCCAAGAATCACTTCAAGAGCTAAAAGGATTTTTGTCTAGTTTTAATTGAAGGATGAGAATAATTTAAAATGAAGCAATTAGAGATAATTAAAGATGCTATCCTAGTTTTTTTTAAGCTAGAAAAATAATAGGGCTTAGGATTGCTTTTTTAATGCAAGTAATCACTAGCTTTTTTTCAATGCTATGAATTTGTTTAAATGACTGAATCATTCTAAATTATTTTCAGAAATGAGACTCTAGATGATTAAAATCTAGAGAGAAATGTTTCCTCCTTTCATGTCGCCTTGAGATTAACAGTCAGTTCTGTCAGTGACAGACAAGACATAGGGGGGAAGGGCTATTTTCTCTGGGAAAGAACATAGAGAATGAATCATAAGTGTCATGTGGACAGCTTTTAGCATTTTCCCCTCTGATTCTGGAGAGGGCCTTAGTTACTCAGTGTCCTTTGTGCAAGTGCCTCCACATAGTAGGTACCTAGAAGAGAACCAAAAATTCATCAAAGAAACAAAGGTATACTCTTTCCAGTATAGTGTGTAAATCTAAAGTAAGGATTTAAAATAAAAAGTAGAGGGGCTGGGAAGGTGGCTCAGTGGTAGAGCGCTTGCCTTGCATGCTCAAGACCCTGGGTTCGATTCCTCAGCACCACATAAGCAAACAGAAAAAAGCCGGAAGTGGCACTGTGGCTCAAGTGGTAGAGCGCTAGCCTTGAGCTGAAGAGCTGAGGGACAGCGCCCAGGCCCAGAGTTCAGGCCCCACGACCGGACCCAAAAAAAAAAATAATAATAAAAAAAATAAAAAGTAGAGATTTCAAATCTAAAAGATGGATTTGCAAGGTAGTATACAAATTTATTTTAAAAGTTGCTAAGACCTAGATTAGTGTCCCTAATAGTCTTCTCAGTGATTTATTTTAGGAAACCACGTTTGTTCTTACTGACATCAATTTCAAGTAATTAGGACTATACTAAAACAAATTCTACTTTCCCATAACTATTTAAAGGATTGCAAAATCATGGTATTACCCCTATTAGTGCTCAGAATGGCCCAGTCCTTAAATATAGTACATGTTATTCAATGTGCTCTTTCTTATCATTAAGATACCTTTAACTACCATTGTGTGGAGGGCATATGTGCATGTAAGTGATAACCATGGTGAAGTTGACTAGAAGACCTGTAAAGGATATATTGACCTGTGCATATGTATAAATATCATATGCAGATATCCAAATACTATGTGTATATTCTCTGACCTAGTAACAGTGAGTGATGGCTGTCTGTGCAGGTAAGTGAAAGAAAAATGGTATGTTACCATATGCATACTAGAAGCTCATAGGTATGATAGACTACAAAAATTTGGGAATATTGGCCCTAAGCTTAGTGGGTACATGTAACATCGTATTATTTCCTTTTAGGAATCTCCTTATTTCAGAATGAGTTTGAGGCTAGTGTTCTTAAGGAAAATAAATTCTTGGTTAGGTGACAGATAGGTTTGGCAATGTCTTTATCTCAGCTGAATAAATGGAAAAACAGCGTAGTTGAACTTTACATTATTCTTATCATCTTTTCATATTGACTAAAAGCAATCCATGGCCATTTTCCTTTAGAAGGAAACATATGTCTCTGTATATTTGGTGTGACTAGATGGTGGCCCTCAAATAGTGATATTAAGAGATGGAATTATAAACAGCTAAATAGTGTAAAGCAAAAGACTACAGTTCTGATGCAGAAGAAGAATGATGACCGGTAGTGGTGAAATCTGTTTTGTACTAAAGTACACTCAGCCATAAAACATCACTAAACAGGACACACTTTAACCACAACAAGAATGATCTTTCCACTTGCTCCTGGGAAGTTTGACCTGGGATAAATGGGGGGAATGTCTGAACTCAAAAGCATCTGGACTGACCATGAGGAAGAAACTAACTGATTTGAGCAATTGAGATGAAGTAAGCCTGTCTCAAAGAGAATTTTAGAGTAAGATTAGTTTGAAGAATATGCAAAAATGATGGTACCTGAAATTTATGTGTGTTTTATACCAGTGATACTCTGTGCCAGCCACTGCTGAGCATTTCAGTGTTGTGTATGGCTACTTCAGTAGACCATAAGCGAGTGAGCACAAACTGTGCCAGTACTCAGTAGAAGACATGCCTTTAACCTTCCAGGTGTGGTCATTGAAAGAACAATCTGCCCCAGGCACCTAGTGGAATTGCATGAAGTTTCTCAGTGAAGTAGTGGCGTGATTTGACCAGGAAATACACTTTAACCTCATTTCTCCAACCTGTAGGACTCTTTTCCTCTCTCTTCCTTCTCCTGCTCCGTGTGTGTGTGTGTGTGTGTGTGTGTGTGTGTGTCGTGTGTGTGTACATGTGTGTGTGTGTGTCCATGCACCTAAGCCAAGAAATAGTTCTGAAAAGTTAATTATATTAACAGGAAATTTCACTTTCGATTTCTTATCTGGAAGAGGATTGAACTTTTGAAACTTAAAGCTTTTATCTTCTGACGTGTAATGACTATCGCTGCCACTAGTAGGCCATAATGTGTAAATCATTAAATAAAATAGCCTTTTGAAAATTCCAAAATATACAATTAAAAAAATGTTTATTGTTATTAGAAAGGTGATGTACAGAGGGGTTACAGTTAGGTAAGTAAGGTAAAGAATACATTTCTTTTTGGAAATGTCACTCCTTCCCTCACTCTCTCCCAGTTTTCCCTTCCCATCCCCAAGATAGACAATTTGAAAGATATTTTGAGCAGTCAGTTGGGTCAACACAAGTCATAGTGTAAATTAACAGCTTAAAGAATGCCTGATGGTCTACTATAAGAACTATGAATTGTGATAGCTAGTTCTGATGACTTTCTGTTCTTTTCTTTTAGAAAACTGGTGATTTATTTGCTATCAAAGTATTTAATAACATAAGCTTCCTTCGTCCAGTGGATGTTCAAATGAGAGAATTTGAAGTGCTAAAAAAACTCAATCACAAAAATATTGTCAAATTATTTGCTATTGAAGAAGAGGTAAGTTAACCTTGTTATGTTTATTATGGTTATAATTCAGAAATAATAATTTCGTATTAAAAATAGATTAGCAAGCTAGGCATTATGGCTCACTCCTATAATCCTAGATACTTAGCAATTCAAAGCCAACCCAGGCAGAAAAGTTTGTGAGACTCTTACCTCCAATTAACCACCAAAAGCTAGAAGTAGAGGTGTGGCTCTAGTGGTAGAGTGCCAGCCAATAGCACACACACAAAAAAATCAGGGACCATGAGTTCAAGCCCCAGGAAGGCACGCATGCAAACACACACACACACAAATTAGAAAACTGGCAGGTGATAGCTTATGCAACAAATTATGTGTCCCTAAGGACTAAGGATTCTTGAATCGAAATAGCAATAGACATAAAGTATCATAAAAATACACTCCATCTCCAAAATAATCAGAACATAGCAAAATCAGAATTATAGTTTGAGTTGTAGAGCTCAAGGCCCTGAGTTGAAACCCAAGTACCTCCAAAAATAGAACAGAATACAGGGCTGGGAAGGTGGCTCAGTGGTAGAGTGCTTGCCTTGCATGCATGAGGCCCTGGATTCGATTCCTCAGCACTATATAAACAGAAAAGGCCGGAAGTGGCGCTGTGGCGCAAGTGGTAGAGAGCTTGCCTTGAGCTGAAGGGCTGAGGACCGACAAAAAAAAAAAGACTACCAAATCCTACACACTCTACTTTCTTAAACTATCTTTGTTCTGATTGTATTCTTTTCTTTTCTCTAATTTTCTTTTCTTTTCTTTTTTTTGTCAGTCGTGGGGCCTGAACTCTGGGCCTGGGCGTTGTCCCTTAGCCCTTCAGCTAAGGTGAGCGCTCTACCACTTGAGCCATAGCGCTACTTCTGGTTTTCTGGTGGTTTATTGGAAATGAGTCTCAGGGACTTTCCTGCCCAGGCTGGCTTTCATCATTGATCCTCAGATCTCAGCCACCTGAGTGGCTGAGATAGGATTACAGACTTGAGCCACCAGCGCCTGGCTTGGTAGCCAATAGCCAATACAAGCAAAAGCTAAAGTTAAATTCATGTAATTATAAGAAGAACAAAAAACAAACAAACATAAAGAAGCCTTTGTAAAAGAATAAAAATCTTAGTAATCTAGAGAGCAGTATACAAAGTCTAGTTAAAAAAAATAGAATTGGGGGCTGGGAAGGTGGCTCAGTGGTAGAGC